ACTGACTTACAGCTTTCCATAGTCTTTTTTCCGGTGGAGATTTAATCAGCCAGCCTTCATGCACAACATCCATCTCATTAAGAAACTCTGAATCTGCATGTATTTGTTTCTTTCGCCTGAAAAAATGATCAGCTACTAGTATAAAATATCATTATTTTAATACTTGACATTTTATTTATAAAAGTCTGGAAACCTGTCTTGTGGAACTGCTACCAAACCAAATGTCAGATGAATAGCCATATCACAACCAATAAAAATAATCATAACACACTTACAACTCACCAAGTTAAGGTTCAAAATGTTACCACAATGAGTGGTAGTCTTTCATGTAAAGTAACAATAAGACAGATAAAACTCAGCTCATTTAAAACAGTGTTTTGTGTATCAATGACTGGTAGTCTTTCGTGTAAAGTAACAATAAGACAGATAAAACTTGGCTGATTTAAAACAATGTCTTGTGTATCAATGACTGGTAGTCTTTCATGTAAAGTAACAATAAGACAGATAAAACTCAGCTCATTTAAAACAATGTCTTGTGTATCAATGACTGGTAGTCTTTCATGTAAAGTAACAATAACACAGACAAAACTTGGCTGATTTAAAACAATGTCTTGTGTATCAATGACTGTTGTTTTGTCTGTGTTATTGTTACTTTACATGAAAGACTTTGGCTGATTTAAAACAATGTCTTGTGTATCAATGACTGGTAGTCTTTCATGTAAAATAACAATAAGACAGATAAACTCAGAACAAAGGTGTACCACGAGATGTGTTACCCAAGTGGGGTAAACCACACTACATCCAGAACAGGTATGCTCTTCACCCAGAACTACAGAAAAGTGAAAAGGTTGGAATATTACACAAGTAAGTATGATGGGCCAGCCCCAACCACGCAGGTGAGTTTCCATGACTAGGGGCCGGATTTAAGGGGTCATGGTACCCATATCCCATGTTGGTGGCCAGGTCAGTTGGACCTCAAATATATACATATCTATGTGATAGGATCCCCACTCGAACTACCGGATTTATGAAAGAAGATAGCAACACGAAAGTGATCAATCCTTCTGATCAACCTGAAGAAGTCCAAAAGGCAACATCCCAGGCTCAGATTGACAGGATCATATATGCTATACTCCACCCAAGGTCCAGAACTCATCCGGTCTGGATTTACGAATAGTCTTCTTCACCACCCCCCTTGGCTGAGTGAGCACTGAGAATTCCACTTACCCAAGGGCCTAAGATTGGACCGCGTCGCATTTGGATTTACGAGGAGATAGTGGACCCCTGTATGAACAACCTAAGACCCGACAGTGTTCATAACAGGGTCCAAGCACACCCCCATTGGATAGCTAAGCATCAGATCTGGACCAGTTTTACAAGTAGGCTCACACAGAGGTTGGTCCTGCTTCTACCAACATCTGGTAGGAGGGTCCCCAACTTCGTCCTCTTCTCCGAGAGTGGAGAAAACACAACACTCTGTAGAAAAATCCTCTGTTTACCACCCCAACGACTGGGAAATGGGTGTGGTAAGGACTCCCTAGCCACACTAGTAGAAGTGGAGGGGTGGGGAGTTCCAAAAAACAGGCCTCTGGAGACAGTGCAGCAGGTGAACCACATTCCCTAATTTTTAAAAGTAAACCAATCTCAACTGATTCAGCTCTAAGATCAGCATGGACTGGCAAATTCCCCTTTAGCTTTACTCATGATAATCCATGAGTAGCAGTCCACTGGATTTGTACCGTGAGATAATACTACCATCTAGAATTGCGTCCAGATAGTCTTATGGAACACCTCATCTCGACATAGCCCGTTGCAACCACGAACCGATATAAAGGTTACTAGTACGGAATTGACTGGGCAACACATGCCACTGAGTAGGATCGAAAGGAAATAAGACCCTAGAAAAAAAAACTGTTATTCAGGTAAGAAAGTTACACACCCCTTTGTTAAAATCTAGCAGAGGTAATCAACACAACTACAGAGAGAAGGTGAAATCCCAGGGAAGAGGAAACTACCAGATCATGAAGGTAATGAGATATGATACTGGCCCACAAAATATCCACCCATGCCTATATTCTGTTTTTCTTAAACAAGTAGTTTAGTACTTGTAAAAAGGAAATTTTGTTAAGTTTCCATCCCCTTATTTTGAAATGCCTTGATGTACATTTATTTTATTAATAAATTATGTATTTTCTATCTATTTCATTATATATTTTTCCCTACACAATGTTTTCCCAACAATTACTGAACATATGATGATACATATGTTCCATTTTTTATAGTGATATTGTCATTAAAAATGTTTTTGTTTTCATACCAAATTTAGCCATTATGTGATGAGGGGACCTAGGCTAAAAAATTTAAAAATAAACTTACAACCTTCCATTTATTTGTGACAAGTAAAATTTTTTTCAATTATATTGTACTATTTTTGTAAACATTTTTCAGTTTATTTTTGCTTATCTGTTTAAAAAGTATTACTGTTACTATTGTTAAAGACACTGATTTACAATATACTTACTATCCAAGTATCTCCATATATATGATATAGTGATATGCTGATGATAATATTGATATAGTCCATATCGTGTGGTTGTAATGAATATGTTTTACTTAGGAAAAAAACTATATTTAAGAACACAAAAATATTAAGATAAACTTAACTTTGTTATCAAATGAATACGCTAGTATATATTACACCAAACCGGCAGTAATACTCGTAAATATGTATTAATCACACAGTGAAGTCCATCAACATTGACGACATCACTGTCATTAGTCATGAACGTAAGGCTCAGGTTCACTACACTAGTCACCCTAGGCTGTACTCAGTCACTGGTGAAAAAAAAAAAGCCCTATGCAACACTAATGTTACTGTTATAAATTCGGTTACAACAATGAAGCAGTATGATAACATAGACTCTTAACAGTGTGATACAATTATATTTAATAATAAACGAAATATTCTCACCACGTACTCTTTCCAAGTTAAGTTTAGAGCTAACTTCCACTGTCCTGAGACTCAAAACTACCCACCCAGTTACATTTCATTAAACGACAGCAATGATTCAACAGCGCAACCTAGTTAAATGTCTGAAAAAACATTCTTCCGTTCCATGGTAAAACGAGATACAGAAACATATAGAAAAACACGGAAACTTCTTGTATTTTGAAATATATATAATTTCATGATAACCAGTTCCTATTCAAATTGTTATATATATATACATATATTTATAATTGCTTATATTAAAATATCATTATTATCACAGTCAACATATTAAAAAAATAAAGCATAATGAATTAATAGGATTCTATATAGATTCTTCATTGATTAAATTATAAAGTACTAACTGAAGTAAGATGGCAGAATAAACCATATGAAAACGACTATAAGACTTGGGGAAAAAATATAATATTTCCTGAACTAAATTTCAAGAATCTCATATTCAAATTCTCGAGCTTATCTTACAATTTTAGGCTCATTCTACGTTAAGAACATTAAAGTACTACTAAAATTTTCAACGGGCTCACTTGTTGTCCAATATTACTTTCATGACATGTTTTAGAAAGTGCAATTAAGTAATAGATATGAGGTTGATAATATACAAAATAAATAACACAACAGATAAAAGTATCTATACTAGCTATTATTAGATTAAAACATAATATTTTTCAGATTCAAAAATTGCATACAAAAACCGCATGTATATCATCATTATATGTAATGAACACACAGTAATACGAAGACCTTAGTACGAAATGGTAGTTTTCATCCTTTGTTTTTTGTTTTTTTTGTTTGTTTGTTAATTATAGGTCGAAATTATTGGGCAATGGAAGTTACTTTACTTTTTTTTGTGACTTTGGCAAGAACTCTTTGTGAAAAGAATAGAATCATATACAACGTATTTAGCATATGATTAGTTGAAAAAAATTGTGTACTTGGACACTTATCTAAGATTGTTGTTTAAACAAGGTAATTTCTTTTCATACACATTATGCTACAATTTTATGAGTAAAAACTTATTTTTTTTTGTTTTTACTCTTAATAGAACATCTACATATTCTCTTATCCTAGCCTACAGGGTTTGTTTGTTTATTGTTAAGCGTAACCTACACAACAGGTATTTGTGCTGTGCCTATTACGAGTATCAAAATCCAGTTTTTTAGCATTATTTATAAGTCTTCATACATGCCACTAAGTCACTGGGGCAAAATAAAGGGATGGTCTTGTTTTGTCAATTCAAGGCAAGGTACACATCATTGAAATCAGTATCTTATACTATATATTCTAGTTGTAAAGTGACGTTTGTTAAATTTTGTAGGGGTGTATGAAGAACGTATCAGTAAACTTTACAGAATAGGTCGAGACTGTTCTAAAACCCTATTAGGAAGCGCAAATTTTATAATTGTTTGTCTTGATATTTTTGTAATGTATTCTATCGTTGGGCATTTTATTATTATTATTATTTGGTAAACGATAACGAATTAACGTATTTCTCCAACAAACATTTGCTGCAGCCATGTTCACTTTGACACAAATTGTAGGCTTCATTTATAAACAAAAAGTTTCAACATAAACTTCGAAACTCATGTAGGCCTAGCTTCAGAAACAATGTTTCACCAGAAACTCCAAAACTAAGTATGTCTAACTCACAAATAAACTCGCTTGTAGACTTTCTTGGCTACTCATAACACATTGATTACTCATTAACTTTTCATCTACTCACTGAAATGAGTCTCGATTTTTTTTTTATTGTTCCCTTGTTTCCACATGCTTCATGAAATACTTCGATTCTTAACTTTCATGAATGTCTCTTATCTTGACGTCATGTGCCATTTAGCAAAAATCTAAATTCAAACATTGAAAATATAGCTTGCAACGATAGTTTTTTGGATTTTGTAAAGGTAGTGTAAAATTAACCTTATAGGAAGTGTGACTTTTCTTAGCATGCATACAAAAGTTGGCGCCCTCTGTCAATAATTTGTGTAAGCTTAAAGATGAATGTATGTCGGGTCAGCTGTGTCTTTGAATTTAAAAAGGGTAAGCCTAATTTTTCTCTTGGTATTTATAACTAAGTTAGTCAGTGCATATTTAAGTGTAGGTTACATTTTATTTAGGATTTTAAAGGGCGTTTTATTGAAGAACTTTTGAACATGGGATCAAATGCCTCGGTTTTACAGTGGTATTGTAAAAATTGTACATCAATAAACCCCACCGAAAGATCATCGTGTTTATTTTGTGGTGCCAAACGTCAGCCTGCTGCTTCTTTAGATTTACAAAGAAACGTAGGTCTCAGTGAAGAAAAGAGGCAAACCTCACCAAAACGTAAAGAGCCAGGCCTTTTTCCCACACATATTGTTTCAGTAAACAGTAGCCCTCCTGTTGATGGTAGATCTCCAACAAATTCAAGAATTCATGATTTTGAGTATCAGTCAAGCTCTCATAGTCATAGCGAATGTTTTCCAGCATCTGGTTTTCTTTCATCTGTGGAAGCAAAAAGACAAAAAAACAATAAGGCCCAAAATTCACTGCTGCTAGAATCAACATCTGACACCAGTGAATATTCTTTAAAAGCTGAGAAATTTCCAGCATCACGGTGAGTGTAATTGTCTAAAATGTATTGTAGAAATAATAATACAAACATTATATTAATTTATATATTACTGGTATATATTTTGTTTTGGTATATGAAGTTGTATCTTTTTCTTGGAAGCTTATCCTAATTACAATAGTTTGTGTATAGTATATGGGAACCTGATACTTTTTTATTAAAAATTAAAGTGTTCTATAATGCATTTTTCATGCTTATTTATCTGCACATATTATAATTCCTTACATAATTATAATGTAGACAAATAATGAATGTTGTAGACATTGACAGATGATTTAGGCTGTCAGTGAAGATAAAAGGTTGATTATGGACTCCAAAATCTTGGATGCACTATATCCTGTGGGCAAGATAAGCAATGGGTAACACTAACAGTGTTTCAGGTAACTTCTGGTAACCTATGAACTCCAACAGGTTTGAATACACAAGTTACCCAAAATGTCATCACCCACTGACTCTCTCGTCCAGAGGATTCAGTGTATCCAAGGCTGTTGAAGTCCGTAATCAATCTCCAATAATGAATATTTTTAAATTTAATGTATATTACTAAGAGAAAAAAAAGAGTATGTACACTACCATAATTTTTGTGTAAAAATAAATTCGTAAAATATTGTCAATAAAGCATGAAAATAAGGAGATACTGAACACAATGAAAACCCATACAACTTTCACTATCAAGTTTTGGCCTTTTTCTTGTAATGGGTAAAATTATATGGTGAATCATTAACTTCTATACACAACTTGCCCTGTTAATTTATATGTAAATATATTATATGTATTATAAATAAAACTTTTAAACATTATTATTATTAAAGACTTTTCATTTTCTGTGAAATACATGATGGAAACATGACAGTCTGTGATTAGTGCTGTTTTACCAAAGAAAACTTTTTTTTTATAAAGATATTTCATGTTGACATAGTGATACGATACCCCCATAACCCGAGCGCTGTCAAAAGGTCCACCTATCGAAAGCTCTCGGGTTATTGGGTATCGTATCTTTGTGTAAAATTGATTTCTTGAACCCATGTGTTTTTCTAACATCATGAACATATTGACACAGTTTTATTTATGATATATAAATAAATTTATTTTATAGATTGTTTGTACGTTAGCATGATTGTAAATTTGGATATCTTTATTTTCTTTAAAGAAATATTAGTTTGATGTTGTCATATCAAACTGACATCAGAACAAAACTTGTTCACAAGAATAATTATAATTGTTTTGCACAAAATTCTACAACAAACACAATATAGTACACAAAGTTTTACAATCTATTGATATCGTAAGTATTTAGATGTTTAGTTCTGTGTGTTTGTTTCAATAATAATGATAAAGTACAAATAATGTTTAGTGTTAATAAAAATTGTTTTTTTTTTTATGTAGTGTTTTAATAATGTTAATAATGCAAGTACTTTACTTGTCAAAACCTCATTAAAATTAGAACTATAGCAACAAAAGACCATTCTCTGTGTCTGTCTAAGTTACCCTTAGGACTTAACCCATCAAAACCACACTAAAGGTAGCCTATATACATTTAAAACTATCAATGGGGCTTGAGATTGTTGTTATTTTCCTGCCTGATTGCCAGTTTGGTTCATGGAAACTTGATGGGCCAAATAATAAATAATTTAAAATTCTACAAACTACTGTTCTATCAAGAAATATGTTTTAAAAACTCAAAATTAGACCAAGTAAAAAAAAACTTGTTTACAATCCAGAGTTTTAAAAATAAGAAAGGAGGAAGTCTTATTTTTAATGACATCTTTGAAGGAAAGTTTGCACCTTTTTTTCGTGATTGTTTTCAAAGGTCCATATCAAACAGAAGTCTTCTTTGTTTAATTTTTTTTTCATCAAAATGATACAGAATTTATGACAAATAAAGAAAAAAGGGCAAAATAATTCAACTGTGTTCATCTCATTTTTATACAGAAGTCTTCTTTGTTTCTTTATACGATGGAGGAGTGATAATTCAAAATTGGAAAAAAAATCACAAAAGGGGGGGGGGGCAGATACTAAAAAGGAAGCGGGAAGAGACGTTAAACATATATATTTTTTTTTACTTGGCCTTATGTTTACAGCCCAACAGAATACCGAGAAAAAAGCTAAAAAACTCTGAAACTACAAAAAATAAATGAAACTCCAGCTTGTTGTAGTCCTGGTCCTAATAGTGTAGTTACTTAGATCAGGTATTTACAGCTGGTTATTTAAGGTGATCGTGTAGGGAAGTCCTTGACTAAAAATTTGATGAAAAACCTAAGTTAAGACGAAGTTTCTCAATTACTTTTATTGGTCAGATGGTATGATTGGAAAACAGACCTACTAAAATATCTCCATATTACTACAGTTCCTTAGATTGGTTTCTAACAGTAAATAATCATTGTAACTACAAAATTACTGCAGGTTGAGACTGTTGACAAGGTTAACCAATCAGCATCTGAAAAACAAGACCTCAATACTTGTTAGTTTTTAACCTGAGTACATAGTATTTAGTTTTTAAGAGAGTTTAGCCACAACTCATTCTTTTTATTATTTATTGCTACACAAAGATGAAACTATTTTCCTTTTATTTCTAATTGAGTATTCTTGCAATGTATTACAATATCAATTCATTATGATATCATTCATTCCATAAAACTAAGCATTCTATTTGTAATATAATAATAATAGTATTGCAATATAATGTTATATGCAGCATTATTATTTTTCTGAATATTATTGTGTGGGATAAAGCAAACATTTAATAAAATAGTGTTAGGTGCTTTTAAGATAATGTAACATTGTAAAATGTAATTAGTAATAAAATATTAAAATATATTTAAAGATACAGTTATAGAAAAATAAATCAGAAAAAGCAAAAAATAGAATGAATTTCGCAGAGTTCTATAGAACATACTTTCATGTGATCTTTATTATAAAAAAAAGATCTCGGCCCTGGACTGAAGCATGGAATCTTTTAGTGGAGTAGTTTAATATTTACCAGACATGTCTAAAAGGTCTGGCTTAATTTTGAGCCCTGAATTACACATTTCATATTGACAGACTGTTCTACAATTTTTTTGATGAAAATTAATTTTCTTGAAAACTGTGACTTACACTGTTACCCTTAATAAACTTAACCACTGAAACAAGCTGTCTGTAGGAAGATCTCCCAATAATTTAAAACATCTTATTTAAATCATATCTAATTCTTTATGATCTTGATAAAATAAATCCAAAACTTTAGGACTCTTCTTAAACTAGATATTTTTTTGTAGCTCAACCATTACTTTAATAATGAGACACCTGAAGATATTAAACCAATGAGTTTTTTTGGAAAAGATTTCCTTATTGCAGAAGGACTTGTTGAGTGGGTTAATCAGTGGAAAACGAGTTTCAACACTGACAAATGTGAAGTGATGCATTTAGGGTTATGAATATTTTGAACTACCTTTGTTTTTTCGTCGGAGAGATATTAGTGTTGAGAAGGATTTGAAAATGATGACTGATAAAAGTCTCAGAACTTCAGATAAAAGTTTGGAAGTAGTGAAAATAAAGAGTTCTTGATTACATGTCAGAATGTTGCGAACAAGATATACCTTGTCAAAATGACATATGTAACCTTGATGACAATTTTCAAGATACAGAAGAAGTGAGAAATCACTTTGTGGAAGATTGTGTTATTATTATTAGATTGATAAAACAGCAATTAGAAGTAGAAACCAAGGAAGTACAGTTAAAGTAAATGTTGCCTTGGGGGAATGAGTGTTTACAAGTGTGTGTATAATAGTTAGGACAGGTTCAGTTAGTATTCAGATATCTGGTCCCTAATAGGCGTGAACCTTTGGCTGCTTCTAATGAGGAACGAGATAATTAAAAGCTGTACGTGGAAAGAACAAGAACAAGAATTTGCTAAAGTACAGGACATTATAGAGCATGATGACACTTTAACCCTATGTGGAGTGAACATACCACAACTTTTTCCCGAGTGCCATTAACATGGTATTATGTATTTGATGTCAGAGTTACCAACTAACTGTTCACTTCACCCTACTTTGATTATTTAGTGACAGCTACTTTAACCCTATGTGGAGTGAACATACCACAACCTTTTCCCGAGTGCCATTAACATGGTATTCTGTATTTAATGTCAGAGTTACCAACTAACTGTTCACTTCACCCTACTTTGATTATTTAGTGACAGCTACTTTAACCCTATGTGGAGTGAACAAGCCACAACCTTTTCCCGAGTGCCATTAACATGGTATTATGTATTTGATGTCAGAGTTACCAACTAACTGTTCACTTCACCCTACTTTGATTATTTAGTGACAGGTCATGGTGGAAGAGAGTAAGTATCAAACACAACAATATACAGGAAGAAAACTGTATATAAGAAGTTCTAGAGGTTATGTGAATACAATATGTAAACTGGACGGTAGACAAAAGTGTATTTATTTTTCACGTGAACATCACCAACTTGTCTGAGTCAAACTGATGTCAACATTTCACAGACACATCTTCACTACAGATATGTGTCTAACACACCTTATTTTTGTGTGCAACAGACTTTATTAAAAGCTTACCATATTTTGTGTAGATACACATAGTATATTCAGGATTATAGTCCAACATTTCTTTTTTAGCATGTGTCAATACATTGGACGGACATTCAGTTAGGAACTTAGGAAACATCTTTGTTTTTTATAGTAGGTGTTGGAGCAAATGATGTTGGAACATGTAAATCAGAAGAACAGCATAAAAGATATGAGAAACTCTTTTTGGCAATGTATGGATAAAAGTGGACATGAGGTCCTTTTGGCAGTATCTCCTTAGGCTAGATGTGGAAATGGATTACTTACCATTAGAATTACTTGGTTCCACATAAGCAGGCTAGATTGTAGGATGTTTGGGAAAGCCTTAAAGATATGCATTATAGATAGTTTAAACTTTCATAATGGTTTAAATTTTAACTTTCTCCCAAGGTTGGATGTGTCTTGAATGAC